GCTGCTGCTCTTGCTGCTGCTGCTGCTGCTGCTGCTCTTGCTGCTGCTGCTGCTGCTGCTACAGGCGTCCTGGCTCTTTGCCGGTCTTTTGGGTGCGTGTTGCTGCGTAGAGGGGGCTTGCGGGCGCCGACAGTTTAGGGTTTAGGGTTTAGGGTTTAGGGTTTGCAGGGACTTTGATGCGGGAAGTTGATTTAAATGCTTTAAGCCAAACCCTAACCCCCAATAAACTGAAGCTGCAAAGCAAAGGGGTTTCTAGTGTGGCTTCGAGGGTTTTGAACCTCAAGGAAATCGCCCCAGACATCACCCACGAAAACGTAAACCCTAAACCCTAAACCCTAAACCCTAAACACTCGTGCAGCGGCGCCTGCGGCCGCCTCCCGCGCCGCCTCAACGCGCTCTCTGCTCAAACAAATAAATAAATAAATAAATAATAAATAAATAAATTATTTATTTATTTATTTATTTATTTATTTATTTATTTATTTATTTGCCCTCAGCTGTGCGCGGGGCTGGCGGAGGGTTTCCTGGGGGAGTTTGGGGTGTACGGACAGCCCGCGGCCGCGAAGCCAGAAACCCTCGAGGGTTTCCAAACCCTCGGGGGTTTACTAATTGCAAACCCTAATTTTAAAATGCATTTGCAAACCCTAGGGGACTGGGACTGGCTCTACGGAAAAACCCCCGAGTTCTCCTTTCAACAGGAAACCAGGTTTCCCTGGGGATCCGTAGTAAGCGAGGGTTTAGGGTTTAGGGTTTAGGGTATGAGGTTCGGTGCTGGCGCTAGGGGCTCGCGGCTAGGGTTTAGGGTTTGGGGGTGGGGCCAGGGGCTTGCGGCTAGGGTTTAGGGTTTAGGGTTTAGGACTGGGGCGAGGGTTTGGGGGTTAGACGGCCTCGAGCCCCGGAGGCGGGCTGTGCAGCAGGCGGCTCCTAAACCCTAAACCCTAAACCCTAAACCCTTGGTATTTCGCAGGACGTGGGCCTTTCTGTTGAAAAAGGAGTTGTTACAGATTGTAGGGTTTACAGCGACAGCCTCGAGCCCGACTTGATTCAGGCCTTCGCCGACGCCTTGAAGGGTAAACCCTAAACCCTAAACCCTAAACCCTAAACCCTAAGGCCTGATGCAGGCGGCTGGCCTTCACGACGCAGCGAGCCAAACCCTAAACCCTAAACCCTAAACCCTTTTCGCTGACGCAGGCTCCACCTTCACTGCAGCTGTCATGCACAGCAGGCTCACCGCCCTCCGCTGTAAGTAAACCCTAAACCCTAAACCCTAAACCCTCAAGTGCACTCTGCCAGATCTGTAGGGCTCAGGATGTTTGCTTTACAGCTCGGAGCCTAGGGTTTAGGGTTTGGGGTTTAGGGTTTAGGGTTTAGAGTTTGTGCTGCTGCAGCCAAGTTTCCGGGGCTCACAGAGGAGATTGACGATTTTGCTGAGTGGCTGGCAGAAGCATCTCAGTCCTAGGGTTTAGGGTTTATGGTTTAGGGTTTAGAGCTAGGGTTTAGGGTTTAGGACTAGAGTTCAGGTGTTTCAAAGTCTCCACGAGGCATCTAGCTGCTTGCTAGGCAGATGTGTAAACCCTAAACCCCAAACCCTAAACCCTAGCCCCTTCGTGTTTTATCTTTTTTCCATTCGACGGGGGGGTTTTCAGCTGCAGCAGCAACAGCAGCAGCAGCAACAGCAGCAGCAGCAATAGCAGCAGCAGCAGGAGTGGGTGCGTTATATACGCAGAATCCAATTTCCCCAACCCCTAAACCCTAAACCCTAGACCCCAGAAAGTAGAGGGGTCTGTTATATGCGCGCACAGCTTTCGCATTCAAGTTGCTGCAGCGTGAAGGGTTTAGGGTTTAGGGTCTAGGGTTTAGGGTTTAAGATGGACTATTTTTTGATGCGGCCTGCCAGGTGTCATGTGAGGCCCAAAGCCCTTTTTCAAACCCTAAACCCTTTTTTAAACCCTAGTGACTTTTAAAAGACCCTAAACCCCCCTCCAAACCCTAAAATTGCCTCTCCAAACCCTAAACCCTAATCCCTCTTTTTAAACCTAATACCCTTGGCCCCCTGGGGGCCCCCAGGGGCTCCCCGAGGGTTTAGGGTTTAGCGTCTTAGGGTTTAGGGGGCCCCCAGGGGCCCCGAGGTGACCCCAAGGCCTTGTGGGGCCCCTCATGTTCTGTACCCTCCTGGGGGCCCCCCTCTGGGGGCCCCTTTTGGGGGCCCCCTCTTAAAGGGGCCCCCTAGGGGGCCCCTTAAACGGGGGCCCCCCATAGGGGCCCCTTTGGGGTGCTTTCGGGGGCCCCCCTGTGAAACTTGGGATCTGGAGAGTGGCGAGGAAACCCTAAACCCTAAACCCTACTTGGGGGTTTGTGAGCTGCAGCTAGCTGCAGCTAGCCACAAGAGGTGGTTTGGCTAGCCAGAGTGTTTAGGGGTTTTAAAAAATAAAAAGTGAAAAGGGAAAGTGGAAATAAGGGTTTAGAAAAGGTACCCGAGGTGTACATACACCCCAAGGTGTACGTACACCCCGAGCTGTCCATACACCCCAGGGGCACCCCAGGAAACCCCCGCGGGAGCCCCCAAACCCTAAACCCTAAACCCTAAACCCTCAAGGGCGAGTTGCAAACTCCAAACCCTCCAACAAACCCTAAACCCTAAACCGTAAGTCAGCAGCAACCCTCGCGCGGGGCCGCTCAGGGGCCCCCCACCACCGAGTTGTCTTGTCACAACCCCCAAACCCTAAATCCTAAACCCTAAACCCTAGTTGGCAGCTTTCCATTTTCTTCAAAATGAGTTGATTTTTTGCGCGTTGCTTTTCCCCCTCACTTGCTAAACCCTAAACCCTAAACCCTAAACCCTTTTCTGCTGCTTCACGCGCGAGCGCACTGCGCGCTTCTCTGAGGGCACTGAAACCCTCCCCCAAAACCCTAAACCCTAGCCCCTCTCTCCAAACCCTAAACCCTAAACCCTAAACCCTAGATAGATTTAAGAGTAGATAAAACCCTTATTCTGCTACTGACACCTCCAGGGCCCCCGGGGGCCCCTCGCTGCTATGGGGGGGGCTGTGGGTCTTTTAGGGATGGGCCCCCGCCGCAGCGCAGCAGCAGCAGCAGCAGCTTCAGCTGCTGCTGCTGCAGCAGCAGCAGCAGCAATAGCAGCGGAGACTGCGCAGCAGCAGCAGCAAGAGCAGCAGCAGCAGCGAGCCTGGGACGAGCTCTCCCTGGCCTCCGTCTCAGACGACAGCACAGACTCAGCAGCAGCAGCAGCAGCAGCAGCTGAGGGGCCCTCCCGCAAGCGCCGCAGGTGCGCGAAGGGTGCTGCTGTTGCTGCTGCAGGAGCAGCAGCAGCAGAAAATGCAGCAGCAGCAGCTGCAGCGACGCCAACAAGGGCGGGAAAGCCCCGAAGGCGTAAAAACAGCCCAGCAGCAGCAGCAGCAGCAGAAGCAGCATCAGCAGCAGCTCAAGAAGATGATACCGCGTGTACTGGTGCTGCAGCAGCAGCAGCTGCTGCTGCTGCTGAAGCAGCAGCAGCAGCAGCAGACTGCAGCAGCTTTGACGACGACGTGCCTCTAGACGCCCTTTGCTTTCTCCCCTCCTCCTCTCCTGTGAGGCAGCAGCAGCAGCAGCAGCAGCAGCACAGCTTAGCAGCAGCAGCGCCAGCAGCAGCAGCAGCCTCTAACCACAACGCAGTCGATGCATGCAGCGACAGCAGCAGCAGCAGCAGCAGCAGCAGGAAGAGGCTGCGGGGGGGCCCCTCCATGTCGGAAGCAGAGGAGGATTTCTCCATTCCGGATTTCGTTGGCAGCAGCAGCAGCAACAGCAGCACCAGCAGCAGCAACAGCACCGCCACCAGCAGCAGCAACAGCAGCAACAGCCACAACTGCAGCAGCAGCAGCAGCCTCCCCTTACTGGACGAAAATAACAGGTGAGCTATCAAAGACTTTAACTAGGGCTTACTAATGTTAGGGTTTAGGGTTTAGGGTTTAGGGTCTACGATTCAGGGTTTAGGGTTTAGGGTTTACGTCTTAGGGTTTAGGGTTTAGGGTTTAGGGTTTGTGCGTTTCAGGGCAGCGCCACTGAGCGCGAAGCGGCGAACTGCCCTGGAGAGAAAGAAGCGGCTGCTGCAGCAAGAAGCTGAAGCTCTTGCCAAAGAGGTGCTGCTGCTGCTGCTGCTGCTGTAGTTGCTGCTGCTGCTGCTGCTTTAGTTGCTGCTGCCGGTGCTGTAGTTGCTGCTGATGGTGGTGGTGCTGCTGCTGCTGTAGTTGCTGCTGTTGCTGCTGCTGCTGTAGTTGCTGCTTTTGCTAGGTAGTTGCTGCTTTTGCTGCTGGTGCTGGTGCTGCTGCTGTAGGTGGTGCTGCTGCTGCTGTAGGTGCTGCTGTAGGCGCTGCTGTCAGCAGCAGCAGCAACACTTTCGGCGCGCCCGATGCATTTAGCAGCAGCAGTCCATCTACTTGCTGCTGCTGTTGCTGCTGCTGCTGCTGCTAGGTTGAGTTTCTGCAGGACTCTGAGACGGCGAAGCATCGGCAGGGGGAGGCG